GGAAAACAGCAGGAATTCTGACCCGCCCATGCAAATGTTAATGATGTTGCTGGCATTGCACTAAAAAAAATAGTATATGCATGTATTGCAATACTGATTAGTAGTTTTTTTACTCGTGCTGATCAGATCAATAATATCTTTCCATATTAAAACTGAGTTGTAGGATGTATACATGGAAATTTGCATTTCCATTTCAAGAAAGGCAAATATATCCATATCATCTCACTGAAATTCCGTAGACTTTTCCTCAAGATGTAAGCACTGAAGATAGGGGCACTGGGTTAATATATTCATGACTTTGGAGCAGATTGCTAACGCTTAAACAAGTCTCTCAGTCAGACTTCCTCTAATGTTCTATTTGAAGTAATTTTTGATGGATAGATATTGGTGAAAGTAGTGACAGAAAAAGAAGCCTTTATTCTGGGAAGTTGGATTCTAATTTAAATTTAACTATTATTCTACCAAGAGACCACATCTTTATGTAAACTTCTCCCTCTGCCAGACAGTTAGAAGAAAGAAAAGGCACATTTTTTTCAGGAAATGGCTCACATCTTACGAGATGCATAGGATATTAAAAAAAAATGTGCTTTGAACAAGATACAGAAGCAGCAAAAACAAGCGTGTTTGCATTGGTGGCCTACTGTATTTGTGAATACAATATTTTTCTATCTTTTTAAATGAATAATGCTAATGTGATTTCTCAAAAGAAAACAGTGAGAATTTAAGAAGATACTTATACATATTTTGTACAATTCAAAGGGTCTTTCTTTGGCTGAAAAGTGCTACTGATAAAGGCTATTTCCATTTAAGTAATTACAAAGGGGAATCTCAAAATATATTGCATGTTCTCTTACATTTAAATCACAGTTTGGAGAACAAACATAATTTGACAAATTCTAATAGCACATGTGAAGGAAGTAATAGCAGTAAATAATAAAATAAATTCAAAATCATAGTTGTTTACGATTCATGTGAAGAAGTAAACAAGAAATTTTATTTGTTTATATAAAGTTGTTACCTGCTTCACTCACAGCTCTTGTGGAATCAAATGCTTCTCAGCAGTATTAGGAACAACTGTCTTAACATGAACAAGAAGACACTCAATAAAAAGCAGTTTAGAAGCATGGTACACTGCAAAAATATTCACCTGTCTGGTTTCAGAATAAATAAGACCTAGAAAATATCTTCATGCTTACGTGTTCTAAGTTCATCAGCATCTGTTATTCCACTAGAAAAAGAATTGGTAGAGAAGTGGCAGTCTCAAAAATAACATATTCTTTCAAGTTTCAGGAATAGAAATGGCTGAATAAAAGAAATACGTTACTATTGGTACATCCACTGAACAAAGGATTGCAGTACTTTTAAGGAATGCGTAAGAATCCATGAAGAAAAGGAGTGTAAGCCTTGATGAGATAGAATAAAGCTTCATTAATGTTGCTGATCATGGATTTAGATTACTTATTTCCATGCATTCACTCCTGTGCACTTAGGTGTATTACTATCTGAACAGCGTACCAGAAGAAAGGCTAAAATCAGACTGGGAATGAGGAGCTTTTTTTCACCCAGAAACCTGGTCTCCAATAAAAACCTTATCTCATTTTCCTGTTCCATCAAAACAACGCAGTGTGGACCCTCTCTTCTTTGCTGACTAGCTGTCCATGGCAGATGGAAAGCGTTCATTGGAACCTACATGAACTCCAAGGGGTTCTGCTACAACTTGCACTTGAGCTGAGGAATGTCACACGCTGGGCTAAGTACTATTGTACTCTAACTCCACTAAAGCTAATGGTCTTTCCTCAGAGATGAAGATGGTTCCCCGAATTTAGGCACAAATGAGAGACATCACTTAAGGGAGCAGAGATGTGGCCAAAATGAAATCTGAAACCATGAGGTGCTTTTCTTGTTTCAGTTTATCTCTTGGCCTAGAAAGAATTCTGTAGTTAGGATATCCATGCCCTTATCTAGACTGGATAATATATGCACAGGAAAACATGCTTCCAGCCTGTGTGGCTTTCTCTTTCTCCTTTCTGTTACCTATATCTCACTGTAACTAATCTCCCCATTGAGGAAAAAGAAAAAAACAAAAAACAAAAACAAACAAAGAAACCCAACAGTCTTCATTTCTTTCTTTTTTGCCTCAACTGAAACCATCCTTTTCCTATGAAAAAAATAATTAATTAATTAATGCTTTATTGGGTCTCAGAAGGGTTATACGTGTTCATAATTAACTGATATGTATCTGATACCTGGCTCTTGCCTAAGCATACTTGGGGCCATCAGCTGAAAATACAGGCAGAGTTGGCCTTTAGGGACCACAGTGCCTACAGTGACAAGATCCCAGATTCCTCTCCTAACTTTACTTCCCGCCTTCATGTTTCCAAAGTCCTGCAAGAATTTGTGCCAGCAGCATCAGCACAGGGCACTCACATTCAGCACAGCTGTTCAGATTCATTTGGTGCCTCTAGATGGATCAGGCTGGTTTCTGCATCAGGTATCATCAAGTACTGTGTGACCCCACAAGACTGCTACTTAGATCACGAAACACAGAAAATAGGGTCCACCTAGGGAGTTAGTGTTAAAGCTGTATGTCAGGGTAGAGACCTGAAAATAAATAATGCTTATGTCCTTATCAAACTTCCACACAGGGTAACATTTTTGAAGTGATTCCCAACTTTGTGTTTGTTGGTCATGACAACGTGAGCTGACTTATCTTAGATGATAGCTGATACACAATGTGTCTTTCTCTATAGCACAGGTTAAATGAAGTGGAACTTTCCAACTCATAAGACGTTATAGAGATTTGTGTGTACCACTCAAAAGTTACTTCACCAAGCCTTTATCGTTGGGCAAAGTGATGGCTGTCATATCTTCTTAAATATCTTCTAGCAAATTCAGTTTGAGATGTATGTATTCATCCGAAAAATGCACCTCACAGCTTTGGACTGAATGGCATCAAGTAGAGATAAATGTCTCAATGGAAATATCAGAATCAGTGGTCATTTAGGTAAAATGTGCACAGGCTGCCTGTGAGTGCACAATGTCATGCAGTGTGTGGGAGGTCCTTAGTCTACAGGCACTTGTTATATACAGCGTATAGAGGATGTATGATGGCTGCCTGGAAAGTTATGTGTACTATTTTATTATGGTGGCCCTCGACATCAGAGGCAGATGGTGGTAGGGCAGTTGAGGTTGAACCTTTCCACCAACATTCTGTTGCATTTTGTTGCCATGTCACAGATGGCAGCAGAGAGGCAGACTGACTATATAGCATCTGACATGGAACTACAATTCTGTGATTCTGTGATTCTGTGAGCTGCATTTTGAAACAAAAGTGTGGAATTTAATTCCTTCATGTGGAAAAAATGACATTCGTTGACACTTACTGAACTTTATGGAGACCAAACAGTGGATTTGAACACAACAAGGTGATGGGCAGTGTATTTCAGCAGTAGCAACAGCGGCATGGAAGACAAGCCATGTTGTGCATGGCCATGTGGATTTTTATGAGCACAACATGCAGGCTCTTGTTCATCACTGCTGAAAATGCATAGCTAATGGTGGTGATTCTGCTAGAAAAAACTATTTGCTCTGTCAAATAGTGGTATTGTACTCTTTATCTGTTGTACTTCCATGGAAATAAATAGGTGTGACCCATGTATGATTAACATGGGCCAGCTGGAAGCCTCTGCAAACTGCCTGAAAGTTGACTAAACAGAAAAAAATACTCACCTGATAATATTTTGTTGAGCCACCTGGCATCAGGAGGTGGCAAGTTCCTTCAAGTCTGTGATGAGGAAGTGCTGAATGAAGGAGCTGTGCCTTGCAAGGACATGCTAATCATCTCTGTATAGCCAGCCCACAAAAAGACCTCCCTTCAGAAAAGCTGTTGGTAAAGGTCTGTTATTCAGATGGCAACAGGAGGTCCCTCTTCATACCCTTTCATATCCTCCCAAGGGATATGCTAGTTCTTCTGCAACACTAAGATACTTGAATGTGAAGAACAGATGTTCATCCCCTGAGGCAGTGCCAGGACTAGCTGTGGTAAGGGTGGGAATGGGCTTGGGAAAGGAGCTTCCAAGCACCTCAACAAGTTGTCAGTGAAATAAACATCCATGACATAACTACACTGGCCGTGTATTACGGGGCTCAGTGCACCTGACAGTGCTCAAGGCAGTTCCTGAGATTTTCTTGAGAAGGTGGCCAGGGCTGTTGGTAACTAATTGAGTGCATGAAAGATGACGATGGGGACATAGCCTCTCCGATGAGCCAAAGGCACATTCCATAATCGTGTGGGTGCAAAGCCCATTCACATAGATCCTGTTCCCTATCCATAAGTTGGCATAGCCCCCTTCCTCCTCCTCTTCCTCAGGGCCCCTGTGTGCGGCTGTGCATTTCTGGCCTCCCAATACTTGAATTCCAGGAGCTGCCTTCCCCTGTTCTGCCCAGTCCCCACCACACCACTCACATCATGGCAGCAACTATTGGAAGAGGAGTGGCAGCAGGGAACAAGGAGGTGATCGTCCCTCTCTACTCTGCCTGGTTGGATGCCTGGTCTGTTTAGGTTGGATGTCAGGGGGAAATTCTTCACAGAGAGAGTGGTGAGGTGCTGGAACAGCTGCCCAGAGAGGCTGTGGATGCCCTGTCCATCCCTGGAGGTGTTCAAGGCCAGGTTGGATGGGGAGCTGGGTAGCCTGGGCTGGTATTAAATGTGGAGGTTGATGGCCCTGCATGTGGCAGGGGGTTGGAGATTCATGATCCTTGAGGTCCCTTCCAACCCTGGCATTCTGTGATTCTGTTGTTCAGTGACCGCAGCCCCCAGCCGCTCTCGCTAACACGCAGGACACAGCCTCCACCTGTGCAGGGGCTGATCTCCTTCGAGAAGCGCGTCGCTTTATGTGCTTCACAGACTCCATCGCCGTAACCCCACGGCCCATCCGCCCACGGCAGAGATAGGGTCGAGCAGCCGGACAGCGGGGCGGCGCCGTGACGGGCACCGCCTCTCCCCGCCCTCAGCCGCCGCGGCGACGCCGGCCCTCTTTGTACCGCTGGCCGGTCAGCACGCCGTTTGCCGCCTCGCTTCTCCGCTGCGCTGCCCGCCCGGCTTCGACCGCGGCCGGGAGCCGCCTCTGGGTGGAGGCGCGGGTCGGCCCTCCCCTGCCCGTGTTCTGCTGCGGGGCTTCCCCGTTTCCTGCCCCGCCGGTCCCAGGGCTTGCTGGCCCTGCCCCTGTGCCGCCCGTTCGGCTAGCTGTCCTTCCGCGCGGTGCTCGCGTTCCCGAGCCGCCGGCTGCGTCCTCCCCGGCGGCGGGCATGGCGCCGTTGACCGCGCCCGTACGCGTCTGAGGCGGCGGGGGTGGCGAGGACGAGGCGAGATGAGGCGCCTGCAGCCCGGAGCCGCGTTGCTGCTGTCGCTGCTATGGGAGGTGAGGCTCCGAGACCCCGCGGCCGCCGGGGCGCGGTGCGGCTGGCACGAAGGAGGCATCGCGCGCCTGTTCGCGGCGCGGGGCTGGAGGCCGAGGCGGGAGGCGCCGGTAGCCCTCGAGGAGCCCGCGGGGCCGGGGGTCGGGCCGTGACCTGAGGGCTCTGGAGCCGTGGAGAGGAGCTGCGGGCGCCCAAAAGGGAAGTGCGCGGCCGGCTACCGAGCTGCTCTGTGGTAGTCAGTGCTAGCATTGAGCTTTGCGGTCCTCTTTGCGCGTAGCCTGGTTACCCGAGTTTTTAATTCTGATTTTAATGGAGTCTTTTGTGGTGGTGTGTTTTGGGTTTTTTTTCTTCTTTTCTTTTAATCTAGAATGTTTGTTTTGCCGTATGTGTCTGTGGATTAGTGTTATGTGTCTATTTTCGGGAGCTTAAGGTAGGCTTTTAGATAAGATGTAAATAAGAAATTACGACTTAAAACGGTTGAAGTTGTGTTCTACAGGACAAGAACACCCAGAAACTGAGCACTGCGAGTTCAGATAATTGATCAGAGACATTTGGCTGTTCTCAAGGGTGTCTGGCATTTGAAACTTCTGCTGCACTCTGTGCTCATTTCCACACTGGCTGTTAACTGAAATTGCATTGCTGTTTGTTGTTTTTTTGTTCAAATCCATTTGCGGCTTCCACATGGTCTTAGTTAATATTTAAGGCAGCATGAGCTGAGATGTATGCTTTTAACTGAACGTTTTGCAGAAGGCTTTGATTATCGTACAGTTAGTTGGGGAGGAAGATGCGTAGCCATTCGGATGCAGTAGTTTACTGGCAGTTGAAGTTCTCCTCATTAAGGGACTTAAAATGCTTGTTGTAAGGTGAAGATGCTCTTTCTGTCAATGCGTTTTCTGAACCAGGAGTTCTCCTTACACCAGTAAAGAGAGTGAGCTCCAGTTGGATGCGTGTTCACTGATGAAGACACATGCAGGCTCAGGAATGTGGAGTGCTTCCCTGTGACTTCCAGGCTGAGCTCGGTCATTAAGTAGCTGTGCGGCACTGCTCTGGGGAATCATGTCTTGTATGCTGTGAAGTCTGTGAAAGAAGAGAAAATGGGAAAGATGGGCTGGGGAGCTTGCATCAGCTGCTGAGTTATTGCACTGAGACAGTTGTTACTGGAGCAGGAATAAGGAATTCCTGGTTCCTGATCCTTTGAGAGCTTGGAATATACTGATTACAGGACCACTTGGAGGGCTGTATTGGTAGTAAAGAGTGATTAATTCAGAGTTTTAACAAGAATTTTCTACCTTTGTCTTTTACAGCACTTTTTTTTCTTTCCCAACCCCACAATAAAGAAAACCCTTGCTTTTCTAACCTGAGTATTGATGCTGAGAAGATGAGAAGGCATGCTGTTAGGAGAGAGAAGCTGTAGATGCCATAAGCTTTGCTCACAGTTTAGTCGCTGACTTACTGAACATGTGAGCTGAATCAAGGAACTTTTAAAGATGGATTACTTGATAGGTAATTTTGGCTCTTGCTGGAGAGAATGAATGCTGCTAAGTATTCATCCATCTTTCTTTCGCAAACTGTTTCAGCTACCTGGAGGTAGCAGTGTGTTATTAAGTAGAGTTGCCTGGAACGCCCTTTTTCATCAGGAGCCTGGGGTTCCGGTGGACTGTTCTGCATTCAGTGTTTACCAGGATATGTATTCAGCTGGTAGTCCTGCTCTCTGGTGCAGCTCATGGTTGCCCTGGCAGGACTGCGTTTGTCTCAGTTCTGTATGAGTCCAGGGCTCTCAGTTCTTTGGAATAATTTGAGGAATGCCTTAAAGTATGTCAGTTTGGCAGTCTGGGCTGTATAACAAGATTTTCTGCTTTTATTTCTTCAGACATCTCAAGGCTTGTACACATTTGGCTTTAATGGGTAGCACTGCCTTTTGGATAGGAAAAAATAGCCTCTGCCTGTATGATTCAATGAGGTTGTTATCAGCCTCCATGTGTGCACAGCAGTATCTCCTGCTGAGTTGTTCTTCAGGATGGTGCCTTCTTCTCTCCTGCAGCTGCGGGTGTGCTGGGCTGCGAGTGGGTGTCTGATGCTGAACTCATGGATGGAAGTGCAGAACTGAGCTGCACAAGTCGCAGCCTTCACCAGGACACTGCACACAGCATGGTGGTAATCAAGGATGGGGAGGTAGTTGTGCCAAGAACAGCCCTGATGGTGGCTTGCTGGGTAGCCTTGCTTCACAAAGCTGTCATGTAACTTTAAGTGCATAAGCTTCTGGTTGGCTGTTGCATCCAAAGTGGCCTAGGAACTGGTAAAAGCCTGAACTTTTTTTATTAAGTCAGTTTTTATTTTTAGTCAAGCTTTTTAGTGCTCTACTTGAAGAAATACCCATGGAAGCTGTTGTAAATGGTATATAATGTCTGCTGGAGAAATTTGAATGTGGCAATATAACATTTAGATGACCTCTTCTGGAAATACTGGAAGTGGGATTTTGGCACACAGTTTCTCCTTATTAGCAATTACTACATGTATGCTGATAGAAGTATTGATAATTGGTTGGCTGGGAAAAAGTATGATCAGTGTAGTTGTCTTCTTGTTAGTTTACCAGATGGAAGATGCTGCAAAAGAGTCAAGGTTGTTTTTTGTTTTTATTTTTTGAATGAGGAATGGATGTAATGTGAACAGCAAAATGCCTTAATTAAAATATAAACACTTCTGACAGTCTGTCATGCAAGATTTATTTAAATAAAAGCAAAGTTGGTTAGTTTCTTCCCAACTGGGTAAGCACTGTCTCTTTATTATCTTTGTAAATGGAGTTCAACGGGGCAGATTCTAGCTTATAAAGTTAAGCTAGAATCTCTGCCCACCAGTAAGGGAACAAGCACAGTAAATGACTAAGAATGCAAATCTTAAAGAAAAAGAGCAAAAGTGCACCAACTTCTGATGGTAGCAGGCATAGGTAGGGCTCAAGGAGTTGTGAGCATCCTTTCACAACAGCACTCCAGGTTCTGATGCTGTTTTAGCAGCTGACTGTTGGCATTTTCCTTTATGTCCACTTACTCTCTGCTCCTTAGTAGTTTTAGTTACAAAGGGGCTTATCAAGCTGAGGGAACTTTTTCATTTTTCTGATTGTCTTGCAGCCCATTGGAAAGGACCTATTGCTTTGCTGAGTGGAGGCAGGAAATAATTTACATAGGATTTGTCATTCCCTGATTCAGGCGGTGCTGGCAAGCCTTCCCTGTCTCTTGTCAGCAGTGAGCTGGGCTGTGACTGCCAGGCAGGAGGACTGAGCCTGCATAGTTTTCTCACTTCGCTCCTGCTGATGAGGATTCATGTTCACTGCAGGAAGGGAGAGGTGGCTGAGTGCTGTTTGCATTCCTTAGGGGAATTCATGAATAATTGTGCAGTGGGTTCTTTGATGTTTTTCATCTTTTCCCCCTCATCAGGAAAAGCATCTGTAAGACCTGTTGACTTTATTTTTTCCAACAGTCAAAAATGTTCAGCACCTTCTGTCATGCTCTTTCTATAAAAGAAAAACCCTTTGACCCTTTTGATCTGAGTACTCCCACTCAGCTAGCTCAGGTGTCTGTAAGGATGCATTCAACTTGATCAAAGTATGCCTTTAGAATTAAGCTGCTCTTTTGGAATTTAGCTAGAGTGAACTGGCGGGGGGAGGGGAAGGCCCCAAGGAACTTTGGTTTATTGCAGAATTATTTTGGCTTACTCCAAATGGAAGAGGCTTAGGAAAAGCTGGAAAAAATATGCCCTCATACAAGTTTGCCCTGCTCAGTTGTGTAGGTTGAGTCTATGAACAGGAACACAGTAATGCTTGAGCTTATACTATTGCATTAAAAAAAAATTCTGATTTCTTGCTAAAACGAGATGCACTTCTAATCTGTTGTGATTTAAAGTAACATCCATTTAAATAAAACATACAGAAAACCTCCATGCAGTTGCCATCCTTGTTTGTGAAAATGTGTCATCGTTTTGTGTCCTTAAGTGTACCTCTTTCCAGTTTTTGTGTTTTGCTGAAATCTTTGTTGTTGTAATCTCTTTATAGTTTATTGTGGTAAATAAAAACTTTATTCTGAGTAGAAAGAGGTGAAACCGTTCTAAAACCATGTTTTTTTTCTTTGCTTGAGTAGTGCCTTTTGGGCAACAGTACTAGCTTTATCAAAAGGTGAGGGCATGATCCAGAATTGGGGGATGTTAAAAGAGCCCTGCAAAGCGAGGGACAAGACGAAGTCTCAAGCAGTGGATTTTATTGCTTTCTTGACATTTGCAAAGTACTACAAAAAAAAAAAAAAGTTTTTTATTTTTATTTTTTGAGAACGATGTGTCTTGACAGCTTTCTTGCATATTAAGTGGAAAAGTTTGCACTCTGAAGTTAAAAATGTATTTCTTTCTCAAGTGTGTCTTCAGCTCTGTGCTGAATGAGTGTTAACTAAACCCAAGTTTTAAATAACTTGATGAAAAATCTTTTCCTCTTTCCCTGTGACTCAACTGTCAGTCTGGCAGATTTGGGGAAGCAAGAGAAATGAGGAAAAAGTGCTTTTTTTTTCTTCTATATCGGATCTAATGCTGTGTGCTTCTAGCTCCTGTGCTAGCTGCCAGCTTCTTCAGGTCTCTTTACTGTGCAACTGCAGGTGAACTGGATTGGCCCTCATCAGCAGTGGGAAACAGCCACCAAGAAAAAGCTGAGGGGAAAAAAAGCAAAGGAAGGAGTTTCCTTTGCTTCTAGAGAGGTTGGTACAGCAGCATCATCGCCAAACTTGCTGCAAGAGGAGAGAGGGAATACATGGCTGGGAGCAAGGCTGCCCATTTTGGTAGTATGCTTATTTCTGTATGTTAGATGTCACCTTTGGTCAGAGTTACCTGCATTCATAATGATCTGTAAGGAGCAGAAAACAGTGGATCTTCTATGTGCACAGCTTAAAGGGAGAACTAGCGGAGTCTTTTTTATTTTCCATTGAAAGATGCTATTAGTTGAGACAAGCTTTTCTAGAAGCTATTCTTT